GCCATATTAAACATTAAATTCCTACTAAATATTCTTTCCTGTGTATGTATATATAGATAATTTAAGTATGGTTCAAATAAATTGTTAAATTTCTTTAAGCATATAACCACAAACTTTATTTCTCACAATCACTTTCTTAGTTACCCAGCTGCAAGAAACTCTTTCTAGATTTCAGTGATCTGAAAAAACATAACTTTATCTCTCCATACCTCACAATTTGCATCTTCTTTTGGAAGATATATAGCATTATGAGTATCAAAGATGTTAATAGACACAAAAGGGGGAAACTGTCTTTCAAGTAATTGGATTCTTTAAACTCCTTCACTGTTGGAGTTAATGGCTATATCACAATAAAAATAATAAACTACTACATATTTCTTATTGATTCAGTCACTAAGAATGTTAACATCGTGCACACACTCATATCTATTATGAGTTCAGTATATTAATTATGAATGAAACAGCAAATAAGGTTGAATTCACAACCAATGGTGATCTACCAAATCAATTAATGATATTAATTTACATCATCAGTTATTCTAATTGTCAAACTAATACAGATAATGGAGTCAAAAGTTTAGCATAAGAAAGGGGGTTTCTGTTAAGAGTGTAACAGAAGACAGAGGAGAACATTATTCCATTTAATCTTTAGCCCAAAATAAATTTAAAGCCATAAAAATGACGTGGTTTAACTAATGGAAAACAGTGTTTTCTTTTCTTGGATTTTCTTGTTCCTAGACAGTGAAGGATCTTCTTGCTTTGGTAGTAAATTCAAGACATAATTCATATAAAAGTAAGAAGTACTGTTTTTTTCTGATACTCTGAGTTCTTTGTGCTTAAAAATCTGCTGAGGTTTCTATTTCTGCAAGGATTGTAATTCCTGGCTTACCAGAAAATCAAAGCACTGCAAACCATACTGCATTGGCTTTTCAAAAGAAGTAATTCAGTTCATTCATCTAACAGCTAATTTTTTACTAACCAGAAATATTTTTAATACATGAGTCAAGATAGACAATTTTCTGGCTTAAAATTGATGTTCCTTATTCTCTTTAGTGTTTATTTACTTATTTATTTGTTTGTTTATTATTTAATAGAAACTTAACCCGTGTCCTTGAAATATTTTATATGATCAAAACAAATAGAGAACTTGCATGATATTCAATATCAAAAAATATCTATCATGTAAATGTGACAGTATGGCTTGATTCCTCCTTTATTGACATCTAGTGCTGTAAGCCCCTGTAGATCTGGATGTGGAGGATCTCCTCACCTTGACTGTCCCAGCAGTGTGTTGCTTCCAGACCCCTTCCTCCTCTGAATAAAATGAACTGATTTTTCTCCCACTTCCCAACTCATCTGAGGTACCTGTGATATATCCAAGGAATATCAAATGGAGGGTAGTATGCTCTCCTCTACTAGAGAAGAGGAACTGTGTTTTAGCAACATTTTTAACCATAAGTCAGGGAAGGTACCTGATAAAACTTAGATAGCAAGGCATTAAAAGAAGTACTTTAAAGATTAGATCAGAGTCCCTTCTGATCAGGAAGAGATCACCAGTAAGAGTATTGTCAAAGAGAATGAGGAATATGCTGGGTTTCTTTCCAATGGGTTTCAATTCCCTCATGAGCTATGCAGTGTCCTTCAGACTTTGGTGTAATGGCAATGCTGACAGGGAAACTGAGGAACTGTGCTTTAGAGAGTGTTTGCAACTTTAGCTGTTCCAAGACAGTCAAAATTAGTTGCAGTAGCAGCAGAGCAATTTCTGACATGTACTGTTGCCTCTCCTTCTACTCTCTGTAGTTGGCTATCGGTGTGAACTATTCCTTTGTGATGAAAAATAAGATCATCGCCATGTATATTAAATCTTTTCTAATGTCTGCTGAAATCATTTTATGCATTTCACACAGGACAGCCTGATCACAAAGTAAAGTTATCTTTTAACTACATATCAATGTTTTTTTTCCCCCCAATAATTAACATTTCTGTATGCTGAATTTGCAAGTGTCAACTTTCTCATGAGAAAAAGCAAAAGATAACAAGTTGTATATTGGCTGCCTGAATTGCTTCTTTCTTGAGTCCAATGAGTGAGATTTACTAATCACTCATTATTTACATATGTATATGTATATGTATATGTATATGTATATGTATATGTATGTGTCCATATATTTTATCTTGATAATAACAGAGATAATGACAATAATCCAGAGATGAGATGCTCCAGCATGGATTTAACTACTAGTAAAAGAAAGCAACAATCTCTTCCTGTCTGGTCCTTCTACTAAATCTGTCCTACTAGCAAAGAAAGGGAATTTCTTTATCTTTTTCTATTGTTGCATGATTACTGTAGATTAATCTGGCTGTCACATATACTTGCTTATCTAAATTTTTTACTATAAATCTCTCTTAGTCTATATCCATAAGCTATGGGATTCAATTTTTCTAAATTCTTCTAAAGATAAAAATTTTCATACTAGTGCTTAGCCCAAGGGTGGCATTTTTAAGACTTCAAATGAAACATCCTTTTTAGAGATTAGCACAAAGTAGATAACTATCAAATTTATGACGACTATTGTACCATTTTTTAAAAAAAAGAGCCTTGAAGAACTAACAAGAAACTTCTGAAACATGTCCTTATTTTCTGTTAAAAAGCAATCATTTTAAACACAATCTTCATTTAGTATATAAAACATTAACAACTGCAATTGAGTCTTGCTGTAAAATGTAAACAGGATACATTTCAGCAATAGGTTCTGTTAGCAGAATTTTGTTCTAGCTTACGTGACCCAAATTCCTCTCCATCAAACTGGTCAGTTGCATTCTCTATATTTAAAGGTTCTAAAAATTTCCTAAGTTGTATTTCCATAAATAGTTATCATACTTCCCATTCTACTGAATTATTGAAGTTTTCACTGCGCTGACTGCGAATGCATATTTGATAATGGCATAATATGGGATAACTGGATTAAAATTGAATATATCTGGAAACATGCTATAAGAGAAAAAGAGTAAGGTGCAAGTTCTGTTTAATCATACCCTACCTGTGGTCAAACATACTGTATTTTACATAATCTTTGCTGCTCCATAAACTGTAAATAGTCAGAACTTTCTATGTAAGTAATTTTTTCACCAGTCATGGAATCAGTAACTTCTTTCAGTTCCCTCCTTATGCCCACAAGCTTAAGGATAAAATTCTAACCACAGTCACAGCAGTGCTGCCAGCCGTATGCTTGCCATTCCTGGCTTATTGGAGCCAAGCAGTCAGGAATCCACAGGGCCTGACTTACTAAGCCTTTCGCATACTTGTTTAACATTTTAAGCTCCATTTAGTTGCAATTTATGTCCAGTATCATCTCATTAATTCACAGTAATACCTGAGATGACCTCATTGATCAGCCATATCATTCAAATAGTAAGCAAGACTAAGCAAGAAAATCTCATTTAATTTAATTTATGCTTGAACACTTGATTTTCTCTTGTTCAAAAATCTGGTAAAGTTCCTATATTTTCAAAACATATACTATTCCTCAATTATATGAATTTCAGCTTAATGTCCTACTCTGGAAACCTTGAAAACACTAGTAAATGTTGACCTTGCCTTAAGAGATTCACAGATAATTAATCTCTACCGCACTGTGAAAATTTCTGTTTGTAGAAGGATTTCAGTGATATTTTGTGCAGTATATTTCAGATTTATGTTCAAAATTTCATTTACATTTAACAATTCTATCCACCTTCTACGCCTAAAATCAAATAAATAACTAGAAGCAGCTAAATATTTCAGATACATTTCAGTGGTAGGCAACTACAGTAGTACCTAAGCCAACTGGCTTCAACTGCCTTCTATTATTAAGTAAACTAGAGACAGGTAGTAAACATGTCTAAATTAATCAAAAGGTAGGATCAGTTCTGATTAACCTCAGATCACACCAAATGACCAGTTTAAATGCCCTTGCAAAGATTAAGAGGTATGAGGAATAGAAAAAGTTTCTGTTCTTTTCTATCTAAACTGTCTATTATTATATTTTTTTCGATTTGCATTTGAATATAAAATTAGCATTAAATCTCATGTTTTTAACCACCTGCAATGGCCCTTAGCTGAGCATGTGCCTAACGACATGTACTAATTTGATACATACTTTAATTGATTTCTTCAATCAAGTTTGGACTAACTCCAGTCTGTACACAGTTCAAGCTGGGATACTGACTAGTTCCATTATTTTGATGAAAACCTCCCAGGTGATTCTGGTTCTTCGCCTTTTAGGTATTACTTTTTTAAAACAATGAGCACAGTTATAAAAAAGTCATGGTGAGGAACACAAAAGCCCATGGAGAGCATATGTAGGTCAGGTAATAAGAATAGCAAAGATTATGGATTAGAAACTGCCTAAGACATATGAATGATGATGTGCAACTAATCAGGGCAATAACAATTATATATTTACACAGCAACAGTTTGGTTCTTTGCATTAGCACAACTAAGGCTTCTGGCTTTAAGAAGAGGGAAGAAAATGAGTAAATCGTCAATTAGAAATAATGTTTTGTCATAAATATTTATAACCCACAGAAAACAATTGTATGAATCTCAAGTACTGAGTTAATTAGTTATAAATTGCTTTCTAGGTGTATTAGCATAATCCTTCTTGAGAGGCTTTGGCTTTCAGTAAGTTGATATTAATTTATTTGGGTTATAAGCAACGCAATGGAAAAAAAAAAACAAAAAACAAAACAACAATTCTAAGCCCATTCAGTCAGTGTGAGAGGTTTCCTTCTTGTTCCACTCCTTAGGTCTACCCTCAAGGTTACTTTCTTGTAAATGATAGTTCTTTTGTTTCAACTTTAAAACTTAATACTATTAAGTATGAAATATAACCTAACATGTCCACATCACTTAGAAAGATATGCATGACAAATTTGAAGGGAGTTTCCAAATCCCAGGTTATTCACAGACTCTTTTTTTAACCAAATAACACTTACAATAAAACAATCAGAAACATCTGTAGGTTGCAAGTCCCAGATCTTTATTTATAAAGCAATAAATATTAGAAGCACAAATAAATTGCATAAGTGTGTAAACAAACTGTACAATGACGGAGGAGTTCAGGAAGGGTTGCCAGAAGACTCCAAGAAGCATACTGTCATCATCCTGAGTGGGAAGTAAATGTAGGGAAAAGTGCTTAGAAGCACTTGCGGTGGACAATGGATGGACCAGCTTCATCATACTCCTGTTTGCTGATCCACATTTGCTGGAAAGTGGACAAGGATGCTAGAATGGAGCCACCAATCCAGACAGAGTACTTGCGTTCAGGTGGAGCAATGATCTAGGATGAAGAGAAAAAGCAAAATCCTACGTTAACAGTTACATTCCTGCACAACTAATCCAAATCATCAACACACCAAACAGCTAGGAGTTTTTTCAAGTAAGAATGTATGGTAACTTACTGGTCTTCAGCAGCTGGTAACGTAATATTCTTTAAGTAAATCTACAGATCAATTTTCCTGATTTGTAACAATTGATTCTTATTAATGTCATTATGTTAATTAATGACAATACATCTTATTTGCCCATCAGCTGATGGTCTCATTTATGAGTTGTTACTATATCCCAATTTAATGACATGGACATTTTCCCCCACCTTATTCATATTTTATAGTAGAGTCAAAGTCCTCACCTTGATTTTCATTGTGCTAGGAGCAAGTGCAGTGATTTCTTTCTGCATGCGATCAGCAATACCAGGGTACATTGTTGTACCACCTGAGAGGACGTTGTTAGCATACAGATCCTTACGAATATCAATATCACACTTCATGATGCTGTTGTAGGTAGTTTCATGAATACCAGCAGATTCCATACCTTGAGAAAAAAGAAGCTGATCAGTATATCATACAAGAGGTCTTTGTGAAAAGGTCACTATAAATATGAAGTTTTATTGTTTTGTTCTACAATTGCTTACTGATTACCAGTTGTACAGAAAAATACAAAAAAAAAGAAAAAAAAACCCAAACAAACCCAAAGCTATAGGACAAGCTTAGAAAACTAGTATTTTTGTTAGAAAAGCTAAGAATCATAATGCATGTACAAAGAAAAGACAAGACCTACAATAAGAGAAGAGTTAGACACATAAGATAAACTCACTTATTGTGAGTCTATGCCATTTATAAACACAAAGGCAAGACCAAGACATGGATGAAGATGTTACTATTTGGCGATAAGTAAAAAGAAACCAGAAGCAAATGTTCATAGGTTGCATTCCAATTTATAATTTTAACAGGTGCTTCCTGAAAGAACTGACACTAAATCCACAGTAACACATCAGCTGATGAACAACTGCATTTGTTGCTTGGGGCTTAGATTATAAGCATTTGCTGTTATCCGTCAGCTGCATCTACACACAGCAAAACCAGCCATCTTGTCCACAGCAAGATTTAATTTCAGTGTATGTAAATATACACTTCTTCCTTACATCTTTTTCTCTCCCACACACTTTTATTTCTTCATGGAACCAGATAGTGTTTGAAGTAGTGAAGAGTATAGGTGGTACAAATACATCACTGAAAGCTGTTCTTGACATTGGTGACTTGACAATATTGTCAGTGTATATTCCACCACTAAAAATTGTGAACTTAAAAGCTGGCCTAGAAGTAGCAACAGGAGTCCGGAGCTCAGCTAATTACCAGCTAGTAATCACATTAAGCACAGCTAACAGGGAGAAGAGAATCAAACTCCCTATTTATATTTGATTTTGTGCAAAATGTAGATAAACAGGAAGAGGAGTGGGACACCTTCTAGAACTTCTGATTCATTTGCACCTCCTACTGAAAGAAGAATTTCCTGAAAGCACTTACCAATAAAGGATGGCTGGAATAAGGTTTCAGGGCAGCGGAAACGTTCGTTACCAATTGTGATCACTTGACCATCAGGCAATTCATAGCTCTTCTCCAGGGAGGATGATGAAGCAGCTGTGGCCATTTCATTCTCAAAATCCAGTGCAACATAGCACAATTTCTCTTTGATGTCACGAACAATCTCACGTTCAGCTGCAGGTACAGAGAAATCAAATCAAGTTTTGGAGAAGCAAAATACTAGGGAAAGATGGGTTAAGGGAGACATGAGGATATTCAGAAGAGGTCAAGCTGAAGGACTGACCTGTTGTCACAAAGGAATAGCCACGCTCTGTGAGGATCTTCATGAGGTAGTCGGTCAGATCCCTGCCAGCCAGATCCAGGCGCATGATAGCATGAGGCAAAGCATACCCTTCATAAATGGGCACATTGTGGGTGACTCCATCACCGGAGTCAAGAACAATACCTGAAAGAGAAATGCCAGAAACCAGTTGGAATCACCTAATAAACCTTACAACACAGCAGTACCACAGACAACAGAACATTTTCAGGTAGTATAAAGCAGCGTGGTTCTATTTTAGCCAGCTACCAACATGCAGGTCTTGCCAACTCCTTCCGACATTCCCGTTTGGTCAAACAATCCCCACAAAAAACTGTCCCGTACAGACTTTTAATGAATCCATATGAATAGCCTTCCAATGCTACACTGAGCAGGAAGTGTACTGATGTAATTATGGCCTTGATCCAGTAAAGGGCAACTCTTAAGCCCAATTTAAACTCAAACTGGTGTAATACTTGTGTTAACTGCAGTGATGTCTCCTTGTTTGCATCATGACAAGCAGCAGGAAAATCAGTTCCTTAGTGCCTTTCTTTTAAACCAATGCAGACAAATTCATATAGTTCCATCCACAAACTAGCTTTTCTGCTAGTCAGTTACCTTTAATAAGCATAATCTTAAAAAAAAAATAAGCCAACAGAGTAGTTTTCTGTAAACTGGAATGCTGTTTTGTATGTTTGTCTATGTGTGTGTCTTTGGAGTGGGAAGGAGAAAGGGTTTGTGGGTCCTGAAAGGAAAGAAGTCTATTTTACCTGTGGTACGACCGGAGGCATACAGGGACAGGACAGCCTGGATTGCCACGTACATAGCAGGTACATTGAAGGTCTCAAACATTATCTGGGTCATCTTTTCACGATTAGCTTTAGGGTTCAAGGGTGCTTCTGTGAGCAAGGTGGGGTGCTCCTCAGGGGCCACACGGAGTTCATTGTAGAAAGTATGGTGCCAAATCTTTTCCATATCATCCCAATTGGTGATGATGCCATGTTCAATGGGATATTTCAAAGTAAGGATACCTCTTTTGCTCTGTGCTTCATCACCCACATAGGAATCTTTTTGACCCATACCAACCATAACACCCTAAAAGAACAAAATACAGGAACACATGACTTGAGAAAGAGAACATCACAGAACTAGATTTACACCTCGGTCGACTATTCTATTTTCCAGAAAGGTACAAGCAGTAATGCCACTAAAAGGTTGTTAAAGTTGTTTATTAAAATATTAACTCAATAGATCTTGAAGCTCTCTCGTGAAATTAATTTTCCTTTAATCAGATCAAAGGACTTCTCCCACTTTTTTTTTTTTTTTTTTTTTTTTTTTTTAATATATATCCTTCATTTTCAATTACCTCTTTCTGGACCAAAGTTCAATTGATAGTGAAAAGCATGATAAGCTTTTTTGTCACAGCAATTATAGGAGAAAAAGCCTTGTGTTTTCTGTGTTTTGAACAAATTGTGAGAAAATACAAGGAGAATGAAATAGGACCCCAGAAAAAGAGGCTTAGAAGGTGGTAAGAAGGCAGAGACAGACAAAAGCAGCAGAGGAAACGCAAGGGCTTTATATGTGGGACACTGGGTTGGATGGGTGGGATGAGTTCAGCCTATGGAGATGCCTTTGAACCAATACCAGAAGCATGTCTAGCTATCGGAATGGTGTGGGCAGCAGCTCTGGAGGAAAAAGCGTTTCCTATCTCATTATGGGAGAGAGGAGGGATACTGGTGAATTGCAAAGAACTGGTACAAGGGGTGACAGTGACAGAGATAAGACGGCGAGTCAAAGAGGGAAATGTAAGGAAGCAGCACAGACAACAGAAAAGGTGTCAGTAGGGTACAAGCGAAGAGAAGGCTGGGGTGGCAGGAGAAGAACAGAATTAAGGAGTGAGGCTGACTCCTGATGGAGCCTGGTTCTGTTCTTGGGCAGGAATTTACCTGGTGCCTGGGGCGGCCAACGATGGATGGGAACACAGCCCTGGGGGCATCATCCCCAGCAAAGCCCGCCTTGACCAGCCCTGAGCCGTTGTCGCACACCAGCGCGGTGGTCTCCTCGTCGTCACACATCTTGGCTGATAGGCACGGACCTGCAAGACAACGCGGCAGTGCATACAGACCCCTGCGGGAACGCAGGGCACCTGCCGGGTACACAGGAGACGAGTGGCTCGGAGGGTCCCGGCAGGTCCCGCGGGGTTCGGCCACGCTCGGGCATGGCTTCCGACGGGAGCCGTCGGCAGCTGCCTTCGCGCTTCAAAAGGCACCCAGAACTCTAACTTAGGGCATCACTAGCGGAACCATCAGGGCACGGATCAAAATGGATGAGCGAAATGGTATCTCAGAGTCTGCCGAGCGCACTCTGCCACCGGCAGGGCACAGCGCCCCGTCGAGCCGCAGCCACTCCCGAGGGGTGGAGAAGGGCAGAGGGAGGTGTCCCCGTCCCCGTGCTCGCGGCAGGAGCAGGCAGAGCGCCTGTAACACCCGCACAAGCTGAGCCGAGCAGTGCCTCCCGTCGGTGCTCCCCATCCATTCTTCTCTCTTTCCATCCCTTCCGTCCCTCCTTAAAGCACCACTCACCGGAGCAGCGCAGACAGCGAGCGGTTACTGAGGAGCGCCGGGGTGCCGGCGGGGCAAGAAGCTGCCGCTTTATAGCCTGCGGCGGGGCCAGGCGGGCCGCGGGCCGGGGCAGCCACCTTCTCCTTATTTGGCCGGCTCGGCGCCATGCCGGCGCAGCGCGGCCATGAATGGCGCAAGGCGCGGCGCGGCTGCCCGGCCATCTAAGGCAGGTGCGGAGCGGCGCTGTCCCGCCGCCGCATGGCCAAATAGGGAGCCCCCGGACGACGTGGTGGGAGGGAAGGCTTGGAGCTGTCCTGAGGCCCCCCATGGTCAGTCCTAGGCAGCGTGAGCCACCGTGCGTGGCCCCAGGTACCGGGGATCTGCCCGTCCCGGATGGCTCCTCACCGCGGGGCGTCGAAACCGAGGCACTGAGACATGGTGTAGGTGGCGGAGGACGTCGCTGGGTGTCCTTTCCCCCTCTTCTCGTTTTTGTTTCCAGCAAATACAAAAATCCAGTCTATCACCTGTGTAGTCAGTGACCCATGAGGCTCTTTTGGAAGCAGCAACGGAGGCGTCCCTGCTGCGCGTGGACAGCATCTGCACTGCCGCAGGAAGGAGCATTGCATGCCTAACTTCTTTTAAACTTTGATTAGCACATGCGGACCACAATGGGGCTCCTCTCTAATTTGGCTGACAACATCTACAGCACAAAACGGGAGCTGTTCCTTCACATTTATACATATACTGAAACCCCCCATTTTTGCTCTTTTAATGCACACTGGGTCGGTAATGCATAGTGATATGCATAAGGCAGAGGAGAAGAGATGGAGATAGCTCAGACAAAAAAAAAAAAAAAAAAAAAAAAAAAAAAAAAGTGTTATTAATGTAGTGTGGCAGTTGTTTTCCTGCTCAGTTGTTGCACGCTGATAATTTGTTCCAACACTGGAACCCAGAAAATCCATCTAACTTATTATTATTTTGTTGTAGTTAAAAATAGAAGTGTGGAAGAGGCGTCCCTTAAGTGGGCTTGGCATAGTATGTAAGGCAGAGTCCCAGAGGGACTGCACTGAAACAGCAGCGTCCTTTATCCCTCAGGAGCGCTGTGTGTAATGGCTCAGCATTGGCCTGCAAAAGGCACACCAGGAATAAGAATGGAGATCTGGTGCAGAAGGCAAAGAGGGAAGAGGTGAAGGAGGGAACCAAGCCAGCTGCATCAACTGCTTCACACAGGTTTAGATTATTGGTGTCACCTCCATGATATGGCTGTGCCTTCAGAGAGGTGGGAGAAAAAAGCTTGTGAATTCATCCCAGCCAGGAAGTGCTTTGCTGTGAGAGCTGTCTGTGCTGTGACTTGGCTCTGACAAAGGGTACAAAGCCGAGAACAGCCACTCATTGCTGAATCATGTCCAAAGGGGGTGTCAGAGGCTCCTAAACTTTATTTATTCTGAAATCAGAGATAGTGGCATCGATTTTCTCATCTCTAGCACAATTAATGAAGTGGTTAGCTTCACTCCAGCCCTGGTTTGTCTTGAAGTTGTGCCCAGTTGTGAATACAACTCTGAAGCAGATGTAGCAATAAACTTCTCGGCCTTTTCTAGCTCCTGCTTTTCTCTAAGTGCTCTGAGGAAACACAGTCTGTTTCAGATAAGACACTATCTGTGTGTAAAGGTATGTGTGTATTTTCTACATGTATGTACGTAGAAATATATATGTATATTAGCAACATGAGAAGGAGAGGTATAGGGCTGTGAAATACTCTGACCTAAAAAGGTCATAGCAGGAAAGAACTGTATGCCAGTGCTACTGCTTTAGGCAATCTTCAACTCTCAGTCTGTAGGTATAGATGAAAAATCATCCAGAATTAATGGTGATGGGATAAGGACTCCAAGTGAGTATGTATTTATTGAAATTGACATAGCTTAATAAAGAGTTGTAAATATTTTGGTGATGGCAGTGCCTGTTTGTGTAAGAATTCATGTATCTATGCCAGAGTGTATAGTATAGCAAAGGCTATGTGTGCAGAGAGTACCATTTCAAAGAAAAAAATCACACACTGCTTTCAATTAAGAAGAAAGAAAGAGAGGAAGAGAGAAAGAAAGGAAAGAAAGGAAAGAAAGGAAGGACAGGAAAGAAAGGGAATGAATGAATGAATGAATAAAGAAGGAAAGGAGGAAAGGAAGGAAGGAAGGAAGGAAGGAAGGAAGGAAGGAAGGAAGGAAGGAAGGAAGGAAGGAAGGAAGGAAGGAAGGAAGGAAGGAAGGAAGGAAGGAAGGAAGGAAGGAAGGAAGGAAGGAAGGAAGGAAGGAAGGAAGGAAGGAAGGGAGGGAGGGAGGGAGGAAGGAAAGGAGGAAAGGAAGGAAGGAAGGAAGGAAGGAAGGAAGGAAGGAAGGAAGGAAGGAAGGAAGGAAGGAAGGAAGGAAGGAAGGAAGGAAGGAAGGAAGGAAGGAAGGGAGGAAGGAAGGAAGGAAGAGAGGAAGGAAGGAAGGAAGGGAGGAAGGAAGGAAGGAAGAGAGGAAGGGAGGAAGAGAGGAAGAGAGGAAGAGAGGAAGGAAGGAAGGAAGGAAGGAAGGAAGGAAGGAAGGAAGGAAGGAAGGAAGGAAGGAAGGAAGGAAGGAAGGAAGGAAGGAAGGAAGGAAGGAAGGAAGGAAGGAAGGAAGGAAGGAAGGAAGGAAGGAAGGAAGGAAGGAAGGAAGGAAGGAAGGAAGGAAGGAAGGAAGGAAAGAAAGAAAGAAGGAAGGAAAGAAACATTTTACTCTGTTCTAACTTGCCACATCTGCTTCTTTTTTTTTTTTTTTTTTTTTTTCTCTAGCACATCTTTTCTACAGAAACCTTACAGTGTGAGGGATTGGCCAGCTTCACCAGCACTAGAGATTAGTTTACAGTGTTATCTCAGCTGTTCTTCCATGCAGAGGTGTTACAGTATTTACATAGAAGCTTGCTGCTGATAGCTGCATTGAATTCCTTTCCAATCAGACTCTCCTGTCACATCCTGCATTCCCTTTGGCTCGAGAGACTGCTGAAACTGAGACAGAGTAAGCTCTTGGCTGCAAAATCTGCACGAAATAGTCTGTATTTTCTTGCTTCCTTTGTAACTAAATATCGGCTTTCTCTATGCCTTCCTCAAGTTTTGGATTTCTAATCTTGTAGGACTCACATCCAGGATTCTGATGCACTTCAGACCTCATCAGTCTCATTTCTCCCTTCTCTCTCTCTCTCTTTAGTGCATACTGCAAGGTCAAACAAAAAGGGTAGCACACAATGCACATAAATCCAAAATCGCATTTGCTTCTTCACAGCCCTTTGAAAAGTCCCCTGATAAACTTATACCTGTGGCCAAATTCACCTTGTTTGCTGAAGAAAAGTGCTATCAGTGCTTCAAATAAAACAAACAAAGAAGCAAGAACCTACTGAAATGTGTTGCATGCCATCTGGGGCAAAAACACTCTAGCATCTGACTGGCAATGGTCCCACTTGCTGTATGCATTTCTCATGACACAGCTACTGGCAGCACTGCGGTGACAAAGGAATAAGCAGTAGTGTGGAGTGTGCAGGCAAATCTGCAATAAACCTGAGCTGCAAATAACTTGAAACAGCCTGAGTACTTGGGGACTATCTACACTGTATTATTGCTGTAGCATAAATGCTGTCTATGATACCAGGGCAAAGCTGTGTGTGTTCCCCAACTAACAAGACACTGCCAGGACTCAAGGCAGCAGAACATGAACAGGTTCTCTCTGCATACTAAATCCACAAATAAATAAGGTTACACGGTTTTGTGATTCCCTGAAATCCTCTCAATTGCTATTTTTTGGGTTAGAAGCAAACAAACGAACAGAGACGTTTAGCAGAAAGATAAAGCTTTGATTCTTTAAACACTTTGAAGTATCAAACTCCACTACCAATTTCAGATTATTTACAGTAGGTAACACTTCGCTAACTCAGAAAATGGAAACATATAGAATGATTCGTTTTTGTCTTTCACATTGTTCTTTTTTTTATCTGTAGATGTTCCCACAAAAACAATAAACTTTTCATAACACATCAACCATGGCATTATTTTGATTTAAAAGTACAGTGTATGTCTTAGAACGCAAGACTTTTTTTCTCACTTAAAATCCATTTTTTTCCAAATCCAATGAATCATGAGATACAAAATCTTTCCTAGCACAGAGCTGAATGTTACCTCTCTTAAGCCTCAGGCCAATGTAACCTTTGGAAGAAATTTTACTTTTTTAGAAATAAGACACAAATACCATTCTGACAGGTTTTATTTTGTCCCATGACAGCTGTTTGGAGCAATACATGCTTTAGAAATATTAGAAGCATCACAGTAGTCTTACTGATGGGCAGGAGGATGAGATGAGAATGTTAAACATACAACATATATCATGAATACCACTGTCACTACTGAGTCACTGTCACAAAGGTGTCGTGTATGGTTATCTACATCTGTGTAGCTATGAATGTGACTGCATGTGGAGACAGACAAAGAGAAGCATGACTGTTCTGCAGTTGCCAGCAACCTAAAGTTGTTCCCCATTAAGCCCCCAGTAGTACACTTTTACAATCTGAATTTGAAACTCCTACGTGAGAAATCTTTCTCCTCTCATCCTAGATGACAGTCTCCCAATGTAATAACCATACTGTCAGACTGACTTCTTGGGAAGTATCTGATGAATTCTCCTTTTTCTTTTATGTCCCATTCACCCTAGTTCATACTTAATACATTCCCTCAATACCTTCCGTATTGTCTCAGCATTTAAAGCCTTTGCATAGTTGCAGGCTATTGTTATCATCTCTCTGCGTCTCTTTCTCTCACTCACTTGTGCACTGCTGCACATCTATAATTAACCTAAAACATCTCAAGTGTGCTCTGAAATGACAGAGTAATGAGGTGGGCACTGGGAGTGGAAGATGTAGCTAAACCATCATGTTAGGAAGCTGAGAGAAGTAGGCACAGGCAACATCAATGGAGGTGAAAGGAATGTATGCTTGTGAGTTTGACCTTCCATAGTCATTATTTGCCACATGTCACTTGCAAAGAACAGCCAAGTCTCTCACTCCCATTAAATACCCTCTGCAGCAGAAAGAGGGCTCAAGGAGAGCCTAGAGACTCTACAGACGCAAGGCCA